GTGAAGGGGTGAGGGTACAGGGGAAGACTAAAAAGATCTGCAGAAGGTGATATTTGAGCTAAGTCTTAAAGAAAACTGAGGAAGCCAGGAGGTGGTGATGAGGAGACAGAGCATTCCAGGCATGGGGACAGCTAGCACAAAGGCAGTGTCTGGAGATAGACTGTCTTGTGTGAGGAACAGCAAGAAGGCCAATATAGCTGCATCACAGATTACGTGGAGGGGAGTAAAATGTAAGAAGACTGAAGGATTAGGAAGGGACCAGGTTGTAAAAGGGCAGCTAGGTGGCATAATGGCACGGTGAATAGAGTGCTGGGCCTGGAGTCAGAAAGACTCAACTTCCTGAGTTCAAATCTGGCCTCAGACACTTACTAGCTGTGTGACTTCACCCTGTTTGCCTCAGTTTCCTCATCTGTAAAATGAGCTGGAGAAGGAAATGGCAAACCACTCCAATATCTTTGCCAAGAAAACCCCAAATGGGGTCATGAAGAGTCAGACACGACTGAAAAATGACTGAACATTCACCCAACAGTCAGTGGCAAAGGTAAGAAAAATCAACATCTCTTAGGTCTCCTTTCCTTCAAAAATTCCTCATTGCTTACAGCTAAAGACTACAGTAATCCAGGTGTTCCTGAGAGAGGTAAAGAGAAGGAGATGATTTGCAAGTGAATGAAAAGCAGTGTTTACATTGGGATTTTCTTTCAAGTTCTATCTTTGGTCCAGAGGGAAGAATCAAATAGCTATTAAGGCCCCCAAAATCACTGCTCTTATGTTCCCAGAGTTAGAGCTACACTGACAGTGGCAGACTAACTGCCCTACATTCCAAATTACCATTCTAAAGGAGGAAGTCAGGAGATGTGAGGTGGGTAAAAGGGCAAGGATAAACCTAAGGATTCTATCTTCTGATTATTAAATTTAACCCTCTGTTGGTACTACCTGGAACAAATCCCATTCCATTTTGCCTTTTTAAAACTAAAAAGAGAAAAAAAAAACTAAAAAGAATAAGAGAAAGGGTTGGGTTTTTTTTGGGGGGGGGAGGAAGCAGTGCGTGTATGGTTGATGAAGGAAACATCTTTTTTATTCTCCTCAAAATGTTGGGTGGGGTGGGGAAGAAAGAGCCAGAAAAATACAGTATCACTTCTTGGCCAAATGTATCACTCTTTTATTATACTCTGACAAATTAGCATCACTCAGATCTACCATCCTGTTCCTCCTCAGCTCAGTAAAATATAAAGAATTCTCCATTCACTAATCGTGGATTTTTCCATAAATAGGGAACAGCTAGCTAAGTGGGGCAGTCCAGGCCACCTGTAAGAAAAATCAAGTTAACCCCATTGATTAGCACAATCAGCACTAGTCCTGGCCAAGGAGCCATGGTCACCAAATGCCAGCAGCAGCCAGAGGGAAGAACTTTCCCTGCTGACCCAGAAAATGGTGCATGCCTCTCAATCTATGCATTGGTTATGATGCTCAGCAAGGTTATCAGATTGCATCAGTGAAATTAGTTCACTGTTGTCTCCTGACACACAAGCAGTAAAAATGAACAAAAATCACATCAGGAGGAAAGTGCCTGTGACACAGAAAAGGAACTATTAAAAGACTTCTCACAAAGCGCAAGGGAGAGCTGTAGCAGGATCAAGCTGTTCTAACAGTTTAGGAGAGAAGGGATTAAGTGTGTGGAGTGTCTCTTCCCACTCTCACACGTTTTGTCACTCTGTCAAAAGAGTTCTAAAACTTTACCACCTCTTCTCGCTAAGCAGCTGGTAGAAGGCAGCAGAAGGAATCAAGGAAGATCTCATTTTCTGGAGAAAGCAGAGCTATGATAAGGCTGAGAAAGTACAAACCAACTGAAAGCCACTGCTAATGTCATGAACATAGTTGTCATGGCCACCACATTTGGGTATGTGTAAGGCAAAATCAAAGGGATTGAAGAGACTGTGGCTGTAAATACCACCACCTGTATCCCTGAACATACAGAAAATAGCCCAGGCATGTCTTTCCATCATCTAATTTCAAAAATTCCAAGTCAACCAATACAGACAGGCAACTAAAAAGGCAACTCCTTGCTCATCTTTCCTGCTTACTAAGTAGAAGTGCAACTGTTTTCCAATCCTATTGGAAGAAAGGGGACTAGTTGCAGAAGGGCACAAATAAAGTTCATTACACAATATTGCACAATGAAGTAGGAGGAGGTGGAGGAGAGAAAATGAAGGTAGTAACATTCAAGTAAAGAGCTGAAAAATATTACAAAATCTTAATCCTACCCATGAGACCCTCAAGGGTGCTATCAAACACCAAGATAAATTGCCTAATTAGCTTTTTTAAAAAATGGGTAATTGCTTTCATGAGCTTTCACAGGAGGCTTAGCAACCTTTTAACATACATTCTCACTGTATGTAATACCAGAACATTTCTGAAAGGGGTTTTATACCCTCCCGAAGAGCCACTGATATAAACCTCCAGCAATACAGTCAGGGTCCATAATGTGCACTTGGGTGTCATTAGAGAAAACACTATTCAGAGTTTGCTGGTCAATACGTGTTCACATAAAAGGGCAATGCTCTAATATTCATAATCCTAGAGCCCACAGGGCAGGATTTTAATGAAAGTCTGTACAGTTTTGGCCCCTGCAACATCAAAGAGACCAATAAAACTCCTCTCACATGCTGACAGGCAAAAGTCAGATGGTGAACACAAAATAGTTAAAGGCCCAGCACAGTTCCAAGATTTGCTTCAACAAGGCAACCCATCAATTAAAGGGGGAGAGGGGAAAGAAAAATTGAGAACACGCTAAAAACAAACTGCATGTGGCTCAGAGAAGAGCCATGTGTTTTTGTTAAAGCCTCCTGAAAGAAATCAAAACCAGATGTTGGCCAGTGGAGGACACCCAGGTGAGCACAGGGCAGGCTCATGTCCTGCACATGCTTTGAATGACAGGATGCAGCTGCTGATGAGTGCAGAAAGCCACAAGCAGTAGCCTTTCACAAAATGGAGGAGTGCAGGGAGAAGCGGGTGTAGATTAATGTAGGGTAATTCATTACTGGGTAGGCCTGTCACATGCTGAGATGGAGGGAATGGGGAAATGCCAAAGTTCTGCCCATACTGCATAGGAACAAACCCAGGTTACTTCATCAAATAGGCTAGAGGGGACCTAGCATACAGGGTTTCACATAATACAAAGTAGCCCTTTTGTAGTTGGCAAAGCTGTGAAGACTGGGCTCAGGTTTCAGAGTCATTACTTATATTTCTCTTTCCCTTAGTCCATACTGTTCTTCCTGCTGACTCTTCTAGAACTGGCACCTGTTTTGGTCCCCTGAGACCCAAACAGATCGAGTACCTCTAAGTGGTTAAATAGGGCCACTCTTACCCACTACTAGACAGGAATAGCCAAAATGAGGCATTAGACTGGGAAACCATGCTGACTTGGGAAGTGCAACCAAATGAGGCAAAATGAAGCATCTTTAGGCATTTCTAATAGTTTCACAGTGGCTCCCAAAGGAGGGAGATTCCCTTGTGGGAGACTGTTTTCTCATATGGAATTTTTATGAGGTGTTAATACTGGTGAGAGTACACTTTTCAAATACAGGGATGTTAATTAGGGGAAAGGAAGAGGACAACAAATCCGAGGATTTGCTGTACTCTTAATTATGTATATGTTTTAATCAAGCACTTTCCTCAGCATCTCAACCAAGTTAAAATAACCATACACACTTCTGCCTAGTCTTCAGGACAGTATTTGCTAACTCTCTTGCCTACCATCTTTGACAAGACTTTTTACTTTGTCAATTACAGAAAGTGGGGAGACTCGAGTTCCTACCAGGAACAGATGTTATTTAGCCATTACCACTCAAAAGTGAACTAATATTCAAGAGCAATGGATTACATTCCTCCTCCCAGGCCAGCCACACAGACAGCGTGATTAAGGGATTGAGAACCGAGCGAATTTAAATCACAGCTGTTGTGTCTCTTTGCAGGGGAGGTGTGAGCTGGACATGCATGGGTGCACCATTAATGTGAATTTATAAAACCCTATTATTGTCAGGGACAGAAGACCCCAGAAATGAATGTTATCGCAGACAGCACCAACCTACCAGCTATTGCTCCTGACAGCCACTCAAAGCAGTTCTGCAGGAATGTGTTCAGAGACTGAGAGAGTATAATCTCTTGCATAAAACCTTTCTTTTTATTCTCTCCCCCACCAATCTATGGTAAATATTCCAAGGCCTCAAAGAACCCTCCAAATAAATAAACCTATAAACACATTCTGTTTAAGGCACTACTACACATGGAAAATCAGATTTTTTTAAACCCCTCCCCCTCAACCCTGGGAGAGAGCCATGGATGGGGCCAGAAAAAGGGTCAGATAGCACCTGCTAGAGATGGCCTTGTGAAGCAGGCCTTCAGCCATGTAAGGGAGTTATAATTCTATCAAGAGTCCTAGTAAACAAATAATAAATAATGTGAAACAGTAAACAGAGCAGAGGCATAATCACAAGCTTTGTCGAGACTAAAACTGGCTCAAAATTTATATCCTGAAACTAAAAAAAAAAAGCTGCACCCATAAATTTACATACCTTTTAATGCATTGAATGGCTCGTTATTGAAATCTTGTCCCATATGCTGGCAGAAATGCTGAGAGCAGTCCTATTTTGGCTCCTTATACTCTTCATACAGGTGGCCAGAACAGTGCTATCTCCAGTCTCAGCCTTACAAAGCTTCCTTTATTAGCAAGAATTGCACTCATCCCAAACTCTTCCACTGGGAGCAATCTCAAAGCCTTCCCTCCTTTTCCCACAAAACCAATGGCAGCAGGCAAAGCAAATGAAATCCTTGGGACATACCCCAAGACATACCTCTGAAAGTGACACCTACACTTACTGAGATAGCAGGACTGCTCCCAAGACACAGTCACTGCAAATACTACAAAGTTTCCACCCAAAGTTCAACAAGGATGGTACAGAATAATTTTGAGGTGGGGAAAAAAACAAGTGAATTGTACATACCTGATATTTTGGCAGAATCTGAATCCATCAGGTTTTTTACTTCTCCAAGATGACCAGCAACTTCTATCTTTTCAACTTTCACAGGGGCCTCCTCACTCACAGACAGGGTAGTATATGTACTAATCAACAGAATCCCCAAGCTTATCCACAGAATGAACTATAGGATATAAAGAACACATGAGAGTCAATGAAGAAATGTACATGCTCTGAAAGGTCTAAAGCCAACATCTTTACTTTTGGCAGCTTGAGATCTCTTGAGCTATAGGGAATCTTTTTGTGTGATAGGGGAAAGAGGTTAGGTTTGGATTGTGCATATGTGTGTGTATGTTAAATAAGGGGAAAGGGTGGTTAAAAAAAAAAAGCTAACACATTACTAAAATAGAGAGGGGAGAAAAGGGACGTGCAGAGACCTATCTGTCTCCCCTAAACAGCAGAACTGCCAAATGACTGGCTGCTGCTCCAAATGAAAAACTATCTGCAGAAAGAGACCACTGTTGGCTAACAACACTGACAGTTAAGGAGATTTAATTAAACACTGATGTATTATTTTTTACCTAATCATTATAATTGTCATTAGAAGAGTCTTTTGCTAAACCTAGTCTGCATGTCAACAATGCTACTTAGTCAGGAATCATCAGCAGAATTTATCAAAGCCAGATTTAGAGGTTGGAGGGAAAAGGGGAAGGAAGAATGAGACCAAGAAATTTCCCGAGCCTCTTCTCCTTGCTCCCTCCACTGGGAGAGGGGAGTAGAGGGCAGATATCGGGAAAAGGTACAAAGAAAAGACTAAAAACAGCAGGGCAGTGGTGTATGAAATGGAAAATGCCTCACTAACTCCTTGAGATCAATACAAATGTGCCAAGTCTCATGTAGAGAGAGGACTTTCAGAATTACCTGGTGAACCTTCCAACATCATTTGAGAAATCAAGTACCTCTTAACTTCTTTAGCTAGAAGTAAGATTCTCAAGGTCACTCCCAAATTCACATAGCTCCTTCATACCCACCATATTCTCCCAACCCCAAAACACTATAGGCTTACATATACAAAACTTGGTAGAGATAACTATTCTGATACAAGTCATCAGTGAGGCATCAGGACTAGAATGCAACCTGTGTAGTAACAACATGACAGGATTTAATTCAAGTCATCCAATTCTAAAGTCCAACTGTGGTCTTAACACCATTCTAGAGCTGGCACAAGCAAGGACTGCTGCAGAGGCAATGCACCCAGCCTGGAGAAAAAACAAAACAAAACAAAACAGACCAACATAGAAGGCTGGCTAATAAAGCAAATGAACAGAGGAGCCATCAGAAGAGAACAGTGTTCGGCGTGGGTCCCTTTCAAAATGACAAATCTCTCCCAGCCCCAGACTCCTCTTTGCACCACTATCTTAAGCTTAGCTTAAGCTACTTTGTCAGGTTGTGCCAATCTCTGTTGTCAGCACAGCTAAGCTTTAAGGTACCGCTGATTTTTTTAGTCACTTCCTTAAGCATTTTGCCATGAAACTGTAATTAATGGTTAACCTGCTCTGATTCACTATTTCTGAAAGCTTATGAAATTGGACATTAAGGTTGCCCTCATTAACTTGGTAAAACAAAGAGTCATATTATGGGAATAAATATCCCCTTTGTTCTTTATTCAACCACCTTTAGACTTCCTCAAATTTTACAACACACAAAGAATTCCTATCTTCCTCATATTGTTTATGCTATAGTAGCAATGGTACTATAGCATACTACCTCTGCACTTAAAGGTCTAGACCACATCTGGTTCCCTTTCAGCAGAGGAGTTTGTAGCTCCTGGTTCCAAAATTTTGCAAATGAATGGTCAGTGATTCAACCCCCACAGAATCAAAGGAGATCAGTATCTTTATCCTCATTAAATTTTTACACTAGTCTAGGAGTGGCAGATTTCAAATCTATTTCTTAAAGACTGAGTTGATCCTTTACAACAATAACTCAGAAAGAACAAATAAATACTTTCAAGACCCCAAACAATCCCAGAATTGGTTTTTCATAGGAAAAAAATCACTTGCCATATCTCAAATTTTATGCTTATCAATTTTTAAAAGTTCCAGAAAAAGTCCACTTGAAGTTTTTTTTTTCTTATCCCTACCCTTCCAGAAATGGTGAGTTTGTTTCAGTGCTCATGGAAGCAAAGAGCTGATAATGCTCCCCAGGGTCCAGGAGAATGCAGGGCAGGCTCTTTCCCCTAGCCACTCTGCCAATGCAGAGCAATGCTGACTTGCAGCACACACAGCGAGCCCAGCTTGGTGCCTTAGGCAGTGACCATCATTTGGCCCAGAAAGCTTCAAGTAACAGAACAATTTCCTAAAGTGAACCTATATGAAGCTGCCCACTTTGTAGGATGCAAAGCCTAAGCTAAATCTGCCAGAAATGTTGCAGCACTGAAAGGTGGGGGTTAGAATCTTCCTAGCCCCAAAAAGCACTTTGATTTTCTTAAAATTCATGGAGCACAACAGCTTATAAGAGTAAATAGCAGAAGTCATAAAAGAATACCTAAATCCCTAGTGAAGTCATAACTAGAGTATAGTAGAGAAAAACCTACACAACAAAGGAATTACCAGAAGCATGATGCCAATGGCCAATGTCATCTAATTTAAATGCCACAAAGATTCCCCTAGTTAATTCCAATTATTTACCCTGCACCATGGTCATTTACCATTGCCCACTTTCCCTTTAGATCTAAGTCACTCCAAGCTCCAAAGCAGAAGGGCAAAAGAGTAAAATGGGATAGAAGAGGTTGTAAGTGGAAGAACTGAAGGCTTAACCTGGAAGACCCAAGACAGCTAGCTGCCTGACAAGAGCTTTAGTTAAGTTGCCTTTAAACCTTGGAAATCCTTTCACTCAGGACCAGGAGGTCCTTTTATAGATTCAAAAAAGGGGGCAGCTAGGTGGTGCAGTGGATGGAGCACTGGCCCTGGATTCAGGAGGACCTGAGTTCAAATCCAGCCTCAGACACTTGACACTTACTAGCTGTGTGACCCTGGGCAAGTCACTTAACTCCACTGCCTAATCTCCGCCCCCCCAAAAAGAGTATAGATTCAAAAAAGCAATGCCATCAAAGGGTTATGTGCAAGTGACTAACCATCAGCATAATGGAATCAGCATGCATTTAGTATTCATCTAGTCCATAGCAGAAATGACTTCTCTAGAAAGCAATAAAAAAAATTATCTTCCTCATTGGGCTTCCCGTAACACCAATAGGATAATGACAAGATCTTAGTATTAGCACTTAAATGAGAATGAAGAACTTCTCCTGATCCCACATCATCAGCAGGTCATGGGAGGAAGACTATTCCAAAATGACAATGGAGAGATGCTGCCTAGGCAGATACGAGACTTTATAAGCCTCTGCATCCTTGTTACTGTGATTTTTCCATGTGTTCACAATCACCCATGTGCAAAGTGTAAGTCTCCCACCAGTGTCAATGGGACATTCTGAGTATAGTTACTCTCCAACTCACCTTACCTCCAAACTTATCAGACAGTCCCTAAAATGCTTCTGACACAAAGATAAAAACATTTGGTTGGTGATTTTATGTTGGCCTATTTTAACATGGATGTCATTTAACATTTTGACTGGAGACTGACAGGCCAAAATCAACATTTCACCTGCATCTCTAAATGATGTATTTCAACCCTCAACTTTCAGATCTAAAAAAAAAAAAAATTGCACATCAATATAAAAATTAACTATTTCAATGCCTGAGGATGCAATATATTTCTACTCTGCTAAGACAAGTGTTCTGCAATGCCTGGAAACCAGTATAACCACAGAAAAATTATAAATAAGAAATAATGACAAAGAATGAAGGCATCAATCCTGGGTTTCAGGGGCATAAGAACTAAAACATTGCACACACATCTACTTACTGTCTAGGGAATAAGTGATTCACCCTCAAGTTGGACAAAACTTCCATTATATCAGTGAGAACAGATGCATTACTTACTTGTGAGATTCATAAAATTTCACCTCATAATTAATTCCACCTTAAGATATAAGTATAAAGCTAAACACCTTCACTTAAAAAGTTCTAAGCTAATTTGTTTTCCAAAACCAAACTACTCTAAAATGATCCTCCATCAGAGAAAGGGTGATTTGGAAAGGTAGAACTTGCGCCAAAAGGCAAGACTAAGGCTGACAAGGCTGATTCCAGAAACTAAGCCCTAATGTGAAAATAAACCCTACAGCTCCACCCTCCTGTAAGAGCTATGTGTTTTGTTTCCTGAACCTAACACATTTTTATTCAATATGAACTCACAAAGTATGTTCCTCAGTTCAGGATTCCCCATAGGCAGCTTAATATATCTCTGGCCAAATGCTGGCCAACAAAAAATAAGCAGCACATAAAATCTGCTTTACAAGAGCAACAAAAATGACACCAAATGCCGACCAACAATAACAATAACAATTTCTGGATTCATTCACAACTCCACTAGCCTGGTTTGGAGCTCTTAAACATCCCCTCCTTGCTCAGTTACCTGATCATCTTTCCAACATGCTAAGTCTTAATTAAACCATCCCCTTTGCTTTCTTCATTTCCTAGGCTTTGGCTTGGTGCCAGTCATTGACTGACCAGTTGTCTGTAATAATTAACAGCTCACCTGAAGAATTATACACACTTTGCTGACCAACTAAAGCATCTGGGGATGTACTACAGTCCCAATTCTCTTTTTTTCTTCCCTGTGAAAAAAATGCAGGAGAACCTATAATACTCAACTGGGAGACAAAACTAACATAATTATGTGATCATGTCATATGAGTTTTGGGTGGTAAATTTTTTTTATATAAAATTTTAAGAGCCATCATTTGACCCACAGCACACCTCAATCCATGCAATAATGATTCATATAATAAAAGGATTTTGCTTTTAACTCAACTTTCCATTTCATGTTTCATTATGCCTGGGAAAGAATTCAGGAAGTAGGATAGTACAGATAGTCCCTAACACCTTTCTAAAGAGTCAAGTGGTATCTAAATAAGCAGTTATATTTCAGGGTTGAAGGTGACTGAATAGCCCTTATGACAGCTATAGATGTATACAATTTTAAATTACTAAGCATCAACACTCATCAGAAAACAATGACAAACAAGAAGAGTGGACCAAACAGAATCTGACTGAACTGAACCAG